TTCTATAGCTATAGGAGAGCAACCTACTAATTAACTAGAAAACTAGCTAGCTACGTTAGAATAAAGACGTAAGTTTCTAGGACTAGTAGATTTAGAAGAAAGTAAAATTTTACGATAATTTAGCTACTAAATAAGATAAAAGGGATAACCGTTTAAGTAAATTATTACGGGCTTTAGCGATATAAATAAAGATAGTAACCGAACTAGCGGATATAATAAAATCGACTAATAAGACCTACGTACTAACTAACACGGCTATATAACCTAGTATCCGATATAAATAAAATAAAGGATATAATATAAAGATCTAAAGAGTTATTACTACTCTAAGGAAAGACCTTAAATAAATTAATAAAGAGCTTAAGTTAAGAGAAACCAGCTCTTAAAAGAAAGAATAAAGCCTATAAGATACAATAAAGAATATCCCCTAGGAATACCGGAAATATAATAAACTCTTTAAGGAAGAACTTAAGATAGGGTTACCTGAATATAGCTAATAGGACTACGAAATTTATCTTAAAGATAGAATAACGCCGACGTTCTATAAAATCTATAACCTAAACGAAAAGCAACTATAAACGCTACGCGACTACCTCGACAAGAATCTACGAAAGGGATATATATAAATATTAATATCTAAAGTAGGCTATCTAGTTATATTTATTTTAAAGAAAAACGGTAAGCTACGACTAGTTATCTACTATAGATAACTAAACGATATTATAATAAAGGACCGAATACTATTACCGCTTATATTAGAACTACGAGATCGACTATATAGTAAAAAATAGTTTATAGCCCTTAACCTTAAAGGCGCCTATAACTTAATACGTATAAAAAAGGGACACGAATAGATAATAGCCTTTAAAACGAAATTCGGACTATTCGAATATCTAGTAATACTATTTAGACTTATAAATATACTAGCTACCTTCTAACGGATAATTAATAATATCCTATACGAATACTTAGATATCTTTATAGTAGTATACCTAGATAATATCCTAATCTTCTCGGATACCCTAGAAGAATATAAGGAATACGTCTATAAGGTACTCCGCGTACTTTAAAATACGAAGTTACTAGTTAAACTAAAGAAAAGTAAGTTCTATATATAGAAAGTAGACTTCCTTAGATATACGATCTTACTAAGAGAGATACGAATATAATAAGATAAGATTAACTTAGTTAAAGAATAGCTAACGCTAAAGAACGTTAAGGACGTATAAAGTTTCCTAGGATTTATAAATTACTACCGACGATTTATTAAAGATTTCGGAAAGATTATAGTACTACTATATAACTTAACGAAGAAGGAAAAAGAATTTATATAGGACGATAAAGCTAACGAAGCTTTTAAATGCATTAAAACTATAATTATATAAGAACTAGTCTTAACTACCTTTAATCTAGAACGATAAATCGAACTCGAAACCGATATATTAAACTTTACTCTAGGAGTATAAATCGGATAAAAAGATAATAAAGGAAGACTACGACTAATTATATTCTATTCGAAGAAGCTATATAGCGTAGAACTTAATTACCCTATTTACGATAAAGAATTCCTTATAATTATTTAAGCTTCTAAGGAATTTCGATACTACCTTCTTAGAAGTAAATATAAAGTTAAGGTCTATATAGATTATAAAAATATCTTATATTTTATAACGACGTAATAATTAAACGGACGATAGATCCGATAGGCTAAATACTTATTAGAATTCGACTACGAAATAATCTATAGAAAAGGAATAGAAAACGGTCGAGCTAATACCCTTAGTCGACGAAGTAACTATAATATAGGAGCACCTATAGCGAAAGGATAGCTCCTAGAAATTAACGAAAACGGGAACTACTAGCAACGATAGCTAAATATAATATTTAAAGTATAACCCGACGACTCGATATACTAAAAGATCCTAAAATAGATAAAAAAATTTAAAGTACTAAAGGGATACGATATAGAATATTCGGAAGTTCTAATATATAAGAATAAAATCTAGATACTACTAGAATTACGAGATAAAGTTATATAAGATATATATAAATATCTAATACATAGATACTAAGGAATCTAAAGAATAATAGAACGGATTAAACGATAATATAACTTTCTATAGCTTAAAGAAGTAGTACGATAAGTTATTAAAGAATATAAACTTTACGTACGAAGTAAAGCTAAATAATATAAACTATACGGAGAATTGCAACCGCTACTAGTACTAGAGAAACTATAGGATTCGATAGCTTTTAATTATATTATAAAGCTACTACCGTTAAAAGAACCTATAACTAACGTTAAGTACGATAGTATATTCGTTATTACCGATAGACTAACGAAGTACGGATACTTCTTACTATATAAAGAAGTAAGTAATATAAAAGAGCTAGTATATATATTCCTACGAATAATTATTAGCAATTATAGACTACCGAACGAGATTGTCTTTAATAGAGGAAGTATATTTATAGCTAAGTTTTAGCAAGCTCTTATAGTATAATTAGGGACGAAATATAAGCTTAGTATAGCTTATTACCTATAAATAGATAGATAAATAGAACGACTTAACTAAACGCTTAAATAATATTTACGATACTATATTAGCTACGAATAAAACGATTAAGTTAAATAGCTACTAATAGCGTAACTAGCTTATAATAGCTTAGTTATAGAAATAACTAAGCTCTTACTAGTATACGCTAATTACGGATATAACCTAGAAGTATTTAAGGTTACTCGATAAGGACTATAAGTAGAACGAGCGATACTATAAGTAGATTAGCTACGAAAATTATATAAAGAAATATAATAAGAACTTTAATTCGTTAGAGAACGAATATCTACTTACTATAATTAGAAAAGATTATAGGGACTAATCTTTCGAGAGGGAGATATAGTCTACCTTATACGACGAAACATTAAAATAAAACGACTAAGCAATAAATTAGATTTTAAGAAACTTAGACCGTTTAAGGTTAAGAAAACTATTTTAAAAGTTAACTACGAACTTTCGCTACTAATAATAATACGGATATACTTAATATTTTATATCTTATTATTAGAACTAGCGCTACGAAACGCTAAACTATAGGGAAAAATCGAAGTTAACGACGATTAAGAATATAAAGTAGAATAAATACTAGATATAAGAAAATAAGGTTAGCAATAAGAATACCTTATTAAGTAGAAGGGATACGGACTAGAGGAAAATACCTAGGAACTACTTAAGCACTTAACCTACTACGGTTCTCTACTTCGATAGTTCTACTAGCAAAATCTACCCTAGGCATCGTAAAATCACCTAACGAACTAATAGTATTTTAATTAATTATATTAAATCTACCTATAGACTAAACATCGACCACCGCTTTAGATTCTTAGCGCTTAGCCTCGTTAAGGTTATCTAAGGAACAAAGGCCCTAATAGACTATCTTAGTACCCTTTATCTTTAGCTAGCGCTTTTAACGGCGAAGCCGCGCTAAACGAGCTAAGGCTTTATTTAGGTCGGCTTAAGCTTTTAATATTCGCTCCTTAGTAATTTCTTCTTCTTTATCTAATCGATCGGACTCTAGATTTATTCGGGACACTAGGACATACGTTAGCTGCAAACAATAGGTAGGACAACGAAGTCACCTACGAGAGCTGATCGCTACGCCCGACGCATCGCAGGAACGACCCCGCCGTATATATTCGGCATACTTAGAAGATTTCTCTAGCATTTTACAGCGGAAGCCGCGCGACGAATAGAAAGAATATAGTATAACGTCGAAACTAAGACGATTAATAGACTTAGCTAAACGAATACGCTTAAGGGTCTTACGAGAACGATCCTTCGACACGCGACTAGACATACTATTAGCAGTATATCCTAAGGGATAGAAAGAACGAACGGGGAATATATATACGCGCGATAAGGGTATATTTATACACGGCGGCTAAGGCAGCAGCAGGTCTTGCGGATAAGACTAAAAGGAGGGGAGACATCGTATTACGACCACGGTTAGCGGGCCGCAGGAGAGCCGGCCACGTTCACGTAATAAGGCGGCTCGGAATAATAGTCGGGACGAGAAGTCACTTAGGCTTAGCTCACCTAGAGCGTACGTGAGCTAAGTAAGCCTTATATAGATAGATTACTACTTAGGAGCATAGCTTACGAGTAAGCTATAGTGAGCTACGAAGGGGATCACGGCTAGGACCGTGATCTAAGGACAGTCTCTACGGGTATATATAGCTACCTACTTTTACTCCTTTAGATAGATAGCTCGATAGCTTTTAATATAGATCTTTATTACGATTTATCTCTAATTCTAATTACCTAGTTATAGTCTACGGTCTACGACCTCCGACTTATCACTAACGTAATATACTTATTATTGCTTAGACCACGCCCTATTATATCTGCTAATATAAACCCCTCGATAGGTTTATCCCTTAGGAATAACACCGGTCGTTATAATATAGCTAGGCACCTTATCCTAAGGTGCCCGAACTATAGGAGGGAAAGAGAGGTCCTTTATCGGACCTCTATAAGACGGAAGGAGGCCCTTAGCCTACCTTTTCTCTATAGCTCTAAGGAAGGAAGGGAAGCCCTTTTAACCTTCCTAGCTAAACTAGAGATAGGAACGGCTAAGTAGCTTAAAAAGGAGTAACCTAGGGGCCCTAGGGCCCTTAGGGGGGAAAAACACCGCGCGGGAGGAACTAAACTAACCTTTCCTTTATCTTTGCCTTTATAGCTACCCTTTCCCTAATTAGTTATAAGCCCCCGGGCTCTATAGCTAGCTAGGACTACTAATAGGGGCCTAGGCCCCTATTAGCCTCGCTATAGCCCTAGAGGCCGTATACGAGTAATAATATAAAAATAAATTATCCTAGCTATTATCCTAGCCGTCTTTACCTACTAAATATAATAAGCATTACAGCTATTATATATAGAAAAAGAAATTTATATAAGCATCGTCCTCGACTGCAAAACCCTCATTCGTCGCCGATGCAGATGCTAGGACTTGATGTACCAGTTTAGCAGCCCGCTCACGGTCTTAAAGAAGGCTTCCCAGTCGATGACTTCTCCTAAATTTTGCTTTCCGTCCCCGCTCTCAAATTTGGACATCCAGTCACTCATGACAAAGGCAACCGTCGCCGCCCAGCCTTGGCCGAAGGCGAGTTGAGTCGAGATAACGTCGGCCTTGGCCAGGAGCAGCTGCAGCTTTCCCTTACACAAGAGAATGCTCAATATGTTTTGCACCGCCGCAACCAAGTCGTCGGCGTTCAAGTCCAAGCTGCGAATGTCCACATCTTCATGGATCAACAGGATGGCTATCTTTTGCCTCTTTTCCGGACTGGTGAGAAGCTCTGCGATTGCCGAGACCGCCTTGAATATGTCCTTTGGTGCTACCTTGACATCTTCGATGCCCAGCGTCTTGGCCACTTCCTGCCAGTTGCTCCCGTTGTTGGGCCTCTCCGGGGCTCTCTCGGCTGCTGCCGATAAGTCAGTTCGTCGTGGGCTTGCGCTTTCCAAGCCCAGCGCCTGGGTAACATGTCGCCACATGTTTTCGTCGGTGAGCAGCTTGGGGACCAATTCCACGACCTTGACCACATCCTTTGGTTCGACATTTGCAAGGCCCGTAACATTCAAGCCCAGAATTTCAAGGAGCTTTGCACGTCTCTCGCCCCCGTCAATCAATTCACCCACGTTCAGGTAAAATTCGAGGGCGGCGTGTTTGATGGCCTCATCCGTGTCCAGCTTCATATCCTTCAGTTTCAACTTGGCTAGTCCCATCTCGTCCAAGACGTTCTGTACCTGATCAGTGAGGTTTGGATTATTTTTCTTGAAATCCACAGTCATCTTGTCAAGTTGGGCTTGGGGCACGGCATCGCAGCCGACAGTCGCCTCATCACCAGGCGGTGTATTGGTGTCATTGTCCAGGGTCGGAGGCTGAGTGTGGACCGTGCGCGGTGTTGAGCTGCTCGTCGACGACTTGCTGGTCACCGCATCGCCACTGCCGCCGGGCACGGTCATAGGCTTGGGCACGACTTCTTGCGAACCTAGAGCGTTCAGTTCGCTCTTTGCCGTAGTCTGAGCCTTGATTGTGGACGATACCGAGCTGCCCGTGGACGACTTGTTTGCCGCCGGCTTTTTCAGGCCTGTGGGAACGACTTCTTGAGAAACTGGAGGCTTTATATCGCCCTGTGGCCGAGTCCGAGCCTTGGTCGTGGACGATACCGAGCTGCCCGTAGGCGACGTGGTTGTCGCCGGCTCTTTAATGACGCCGGGCATGACTGAAGGTTTAGGCACGACTTCTTGCGAACCTAGAGGCTTCACATCGCTCTTTGGCGGAGTCTGAGCGTTGGTTGTGGACGATACCGAGCTGCCAATGGGCGACGTGGTTGTCGCCGTCTGGCCACTGAGAGGCCGCGGGCCAGAGTTTCCAGGAGAGGCCGGGAGTCCCTGCTCACCCGGTCCGCGGCCCTCGGAGTCAGGGATGACAGCAACCTTGACCTCCGCGTCAAGTTCCAAGTTGAGGGTGGCGAACAAGTTCTTCGGCACGGGGCGTGCCTGGTCAACGGGGACAGCAGGAGCGGGCTTGCGTTCGGGCTGGAAGACGATGCATTTGTCGCCATCGCAGGTCTCGGCAGCGTTGCACTTATCTGCAACAGTGCAACTTACAAACTCGGTAATAAACGAGAGAGCATTGAAGATATCGGCGGGCTCGACGCGAATGTTGAGGTTCTTCTGGCACTCACTGTCACCACAGGGGCGCTGCTCGTGCTGGTCAAACCGGCCGGGGCTCGGACAGTCGATGACGCGTCTCGTCAGGTCGGCACCGTCCTGCTTGGTGACGGTATCGCCTTGGATCATCACACGTTGAGGAGTGACGTTGTCGTAGATGAGCTCAATCCTGGGCGGACCCGTTCTGGAAGAGTCCGGTTTAGGAGAGACAGTCTCAGGGGAGACCCTTGCAGGAGAACCCGTTCCAGAAGAGCTTGGGTCGGGCACCGTGGCTTGAAGAGGGGGGCCAGGGTAGATCTTATCGCCGACCTTGGTAAAGACGCCAAAGGCATCGCCTACGAAGCAAGGCTCCAGATAGGATTTGGTGGGCAGGGGGCCGGACTGGGCCCCGTCAGAGATAGAGATCTCGACGATCATACGCATGGCAGTGAGGACCTTTTGTGGTCCCTTGAAGTTGAACATGTTGCCAATAATCTCAATGGGGGCGTTGAGAAGGTCTTTCAGGTCGGCCTCGACGTCGCCGCGGGCGAGGGGCTCGGTTTCGGTTCTGGCCCCGGTCCCGGCACTCAGGCCGACCCCCTGTCCTCCACCGCCGCCATGAATGTCGTTGCCGCTTGCCCCATGGGACGCGGGTTTCCGCCCACCAAGGGCCGCGTGCTTTCGCTCCCCAAGGGCCTCGGCAAGCCTTTGCCGCCGCATGTTTGGGCCTGGTCCGCAGCGCCGTAGCTCGAACTGGAGCTCACCGAGAAGGCCACGTTGACCGGCGGCATCTCGGCTGGAAGGCCGGCGGTCACCACCGCAAGGCTGGCCAAGACGAGGCTCTTCATTTTTTTGGGTTGGACCCGTGATCCGAGCAGTGGTATTATGTGGCAAAGGAGAGACGGCCAAGTAAACACGTGAGGATGAAAGGAAAGTATGACAGAGAGTATAGCCAACACACGCAAAGATTGGCGGATGGACTGGGTTGGAAAGACTTCAGACGAACCGAGGTGGCGGGAGAATGAGAGAGGCCGAGGGGACGTGGCATATAAACGTTAGGCATCATTGCTGTCGAATGGCAGCAGCCAGTCTTGAGTCAGAAGACTCGCTTGTGTCCTCTATGCGCGCATGGATTGCCTGGTCCGCCTCTGTTGTGGCATTGTGGGATGGCATAGAAGATTGCTAGTGAAGAGGTGTTATGGTCTTCCAACTTGGGCCGCGTGTATCCTTGCAGCGTAGACGACGGCATCGGCTTCCCGTAAGCAGTATGGGCTGAGCCCGTGGCGTCCTGAGCCTGAGGGCGAACCGAACGCGAGTCGTGGGTTGGCTGTGCTAGCTCGGGCCCTTCAGCTCGAAGCCCTGTCGGCGAATGACCGAGATAAAAGCCGGGTACCTGGAGGGTTCATGTTGTCCGAGTGTTTACTTTTTGTTTGCCGTTGGCATCGATCCGTGATCTCAGTCCTATCGCTCGTCTTGTTGTTGCCCTCGTCACCTGCTTTTGTCCGGGTTAGACGCCGGCTTTGTTTTTGTTTCCTGGAAGAACGACACGATGCCCATCTTGGCTGTTCTGAGATCCAATGAGATCATGTTTGAAATTCAAGATGCCCGGCGGACTGGTCAACAGACCATAACTAGTGCAGTTGAGACTTGATGGGCCTAGGCGGACCTGTCTGTCCCCATGTTACTATCGGTGGGAGGAGGCGTAATAGAGGATCGAGCCGATCGACTACTTCCCAGCCTATGCATAAGCATTTACGAACGCGTGGGCGCCCGATGGGTTGCCGAAAATGTTTTGTTTAAACAAGGCAGTCAGTCAATGCTCGCTGTGGGTGGAAGATGGATCTCCCTTACTCGCCCGTGTTTAGGCCGTATCAGGAAGAGCCCGAAGGGGGATCGCTGTCTAGGCCAACGATATGATATTTGAATAGATTTCTCCCCAACCTTCCTTCCCGTAACGGACGGCCCAAGTCGGGTTCATATCGTATCGCGTTCGGCGCTCGGCGCTCCAGAGGCCGCCAGGCTCTGCGTGTGCTCCTCCGTCATATGAATATAAACGGACCGCCCTCGATGGTGGGGCCCTTGGCTTTGCTGGGCTGATGACTTCACACTCTGGGATTCCGAGGCGAGCCTGGTGGAGAACTGTAGATGCGTATTGAGGCTGAGGTGTTTCACGCTAGAGTCGTTATGGATAGGGAAGCCGCAAAAGCTTGAAAAGGCGGGAGGCCAAGAACACGCCAAGAAATGGCGTCGTCCCGTGTTCCAGATCCTGGCAAGCCCACGCCAGAAGTCATCGGCGGGACACTAAGATCGCTACCAGTAGGCGCAAGTGGCCTGCGGAGCTGTGTGTTATTTCAGCCTTTTGCAGGTTTGCGTCCAAGGCGCCGTTTGTATGGCACGGACTATACATGTGTCTCGTTAGGCCCGCTGTTATAAAGAGTATTACTGTTCGCACAACCCTAAATCTCTAATCGCACATGAGGATTTTACTCAAGATAACCGTCTCTCGGTTGCCATGAACATCAATCACGCGCCTGGTAGCGGCAACGAAAGATCCAGTTATCATGACCCTGGACGATGATTCCCTGTAGGAATCCCAGCTCGTCTGCAGCGGCTAAATCAGGCGCCGTTAATTTCCAATGATCGGACATCCACGTTGCTGATCTGTTCTAGGGCCGCCTGCCATTCCTGGCCCGTTATCATAGATTTGATGCTAAGACTAATAGGGGTATTGATTGGTTCGTGGCGTGTAGTCGGTGTGATTGACCGAAAGGTGGGCGGACCGCCCAGCAATTTGATCGAGTAAGTCCATGTCGTCCGATGAGTCGTGGTTTATTAGCATGATGCACACTCGGAACTTGGAAGTCGACGCGTCTATCGTAGCTGAATATGTACATTCAGTGGGTCTACATTAAAAACGACGGATTCTAGGCCTTAGACACCGACAACTACATCGCGTAATTACGCGTTTTGTGTTACGGGCCAGCGTATGCCATGTTTAATTAAGGAGGCATTGTCTACCCGAACCGCTCGTATTCTCGATTAACACCCACGCAGGATGTTAGGGAGTAGTCGCGTCTGCTTGGTCGCGTCGGGATCGGACGATGGGACGGTCAAGATCCGGGATACGGCGACGGGGACACTCCAGCACAAGCTTAAAGACCATCGCCACTCAATCAGGTCCGTCATATTCTTCGGCGGCAGCTTATAATCCTACGGCTGCGGCCTCGGCCTCAGCGAGCTGTGGATCGGTCAGAGTGCGCTCTGGCTTCCTCCCGACTCCCGGCCCAACGCCGCGCAATATCCCCTCCGACAGAGACGATTGCCCTCGGCTGTCGATCATGGAAGAGTCCTTGCTGTCGGCTTCTTATCTGCGGGACCAGCCTGATAGTCTTCAATGTTGTTTGTTGGAATCAGGACGGACATGTTGAGAAATGGTGGCACGATAGGCATGACGGCTCGACGAGGATCGGGAAGACGGCATCCGCGGGCGGGCGCCTAGTAAGTTACCGAGTTTCAGAAGCTGAACGGCCTGAACCTCTGCTCTTGGGGTTGGGGTCACTGCTGCGGCTGCCAGATCCAGGTTCGAGTGCATACCTAGCAAAGTCTTTCAATGCGTATTTGCTTTTGTCGGCATACGAGGCCTCCACACGATCATCAACGGACCTACCCGTGGCAGCACGCGAGGCCAATCAACTCCTCCCACATAATCCCTCAAACCCTAGTTGTGCAACCCCCGCGGTTCTTATCCCTTTCCTCTCCGGCCACGTCTGGTGGGCCTCCGGCATCAAGCTGCATTACCGTAACGAAACGGCACTTAGATTCACTTTGTTTACAAACAAAGACTCTCTGCTTGAGACACAACGGTGTCTGCGTTTCCAAACAGCAGTAAGTACACTTTATAAACCCTCTTTCGGAGTGCCTGAGCCTTTGCCAAAGCCAAGTGAGATCACATTGCGTGTGGTCTTAAGGTCACATGGTGGACCATGGAGTCAACAGACCCTGCCGTTGCCTGCGCTGAGAGTATCGCCATACTCTCTACCTTCTCCATCCGGTTCCCACCCCGCCATCTTCAAACCTAGTCGCCAACTCGTCCACTTGTCCATCTGGACAATACTCCCTGCCATTCGAAAGAGAGCGTGACCTAGCTAGCACGCTGGCGTTTCTATCAAGCACTAAAGACGACCCGAACCACGTACCGGCCCTTTGTATACAGGAAAATCCAAACGAGGGGACTTTAAAAACGTTCTAGTCGCTGTGAATGAAGCCAAGCGCGGCGATGGCCGTCAGGCTTTACAAAACATTGAGGCAGGCTTTAAGGATATATTTTCACTACTTTCGCAAACCTCCCAGTGTGAGCATTTCTCGACCTTCTTACACGCCCACTAAATTGACCTGAGTTAAAGTCACAAATGTCGAAAATATGGTCTTCGCTGGAATCATCTCAATGTGCTTCGAGCGGATTCGTGGGCGTCTACGCTTCAGCACCAGGAGGGCGCCTAAACAACCTGTGAAGCAGATTTTGCAGAACGCCGCGAAAGCGCTCTTTTCAGCTGCACCCTTATTTGTGCAGAGATCAAAAGAATTGATCGGTAAGATAGATTCATGGGCTCAACACCAGACACTGGCTCAGTTGCAGGGCGTTGTTGAAGGCGTTTTTCATCTATCCCAACTGGATGGCTTGCGCGAAATGCTTGACTCCATTCCAAATCGGCAAATGGGCCCAAGTGAAAGGAAAAGCTTGTGGAATATCGTCAAAAAGATCGCACGGTATCGGGAGGCAGCCAGATACCTGTGCCGCACAGCGAAGAAATTCGTTCAGGTCGGGCGAATGCAGACTGTCCTCGTCAGCCTGCCTCAGTATGCCTTCAGAGGAGCACCAACGGAACGGCCATATTCAACACTTTCATCCGTTCTTGCACGACTGAATATGAAGAGGCAGCACCGAAGGGGCTTTGGTCAGATCTGGCGCTTGTTTGGCATCAGTGAGCTGGAAGCTAGCGATCGGTTCGCCAAACAGAGGGATAAAACAATGTCGGAAGCAAAGATCCACGCCGAGATACAAGTCATCTTCTACATCGAAACTATAGGCCCCCAGCCCCTCCCTCGAGTCATTTGTTCCAGTAAAGATGCTTGCTTTCTATGCAATGCTTTCATCGCCATGCATGGGAAGTTCCACACACCACGACACCATGGTAGACTCTATCCTGGCTGGCGGTTGCCACATTTTCCTCAGCCGAGCGACCTGGAGCGACGCTTTATCCAGATGCTGGATAATCACGCCAAAGACAGTATCAGAACGATACTTTCAAGGCAGAAAAAGACAACCTACCCGGATCCAAATGAGAGTACGATCTTAACATTGCCGATATCGAATTCAACGCTGAGCAGCTTGAACGGCGGGAGCGGTATTGCGCAGGTGCGCAATGGCGTGTGCCCAATGAGCAGCTTCGAGTCTCGAGCATCGGACAAGTTGATCACTGCACCCCAAGAGCAGACGCCCGCTGAGCCAAATTCCGAGAATGCAGATCAAGCTGGGCAGAAAACCATACCACCGTTGGCTGAATCCACCTTGCAGAGTGCAGCGTTGACTCCACTCCCTCGAGGTGAAACACTGGTAGTGGCTGTAGAGGCCAACGATACGTCTGCACTATATGAAGCGTGGCCGATACGGTTTCAAGTCGAATACTCGGCTCAAGTTGGACCTATTCCACGACACAATAGACGAAGGACACTTGTCTGTTATCTTGAATGGTTAAATGGGGAGGAGGCGGAGACTGTGAGGGGGGCCGAAAATGCCAGGATTATCGATGCGGAGCTTCTTGAGGACTGTATCTCAATAAGCCCGGATGATTTGGACAAGTTTTACATCTGCGCTCGGGGCACTTTACTGCGGATTCGTGTCGCATAACTCAATGGAAATTGGACAGGGGAGAAAGCTAGGCATCATTCCATAGTACAATATATTCTGCTGCGTATTTTGGGGAGGCCCAGGCTCCATGGCAAGGACGTCTCGGCTGGATCTATCCACCAATGGACTCAAGAAGGCGAGTCTGGGGCGCGTGTTTTACCTGGTCTTGGTGAACCCTCCCTGGCGGCGGCAGAATCCGGGAGGGGAAATCCAGGATTGGAACGACTCGCCAACCCCTGGGCGTTCGATAGGTCTAGACGGGACCGTACATGATGGCGATTTGGGAAGTTAAGTCAAATCGAGGATTGGGACAGCCAGTCGACCTTTCGTTAGAAAGGGAAGGAGACCCACCCCTGAAACTGTCTGCTTCCTCCAAAAGTTGTGCTTGCGGTTGCCCCTCTTGCTAAAGACGATGTCCCGCCAGTGCTCGAGGCAGCAGGCATTGTAGTACCAGTCGGAACGCTTGTAACCCGGCCTGGTGTTGACGTGGAGCCGGACATCGAAAGACAAGTTGACGAAGATCGTGCGCAACCCAATAAGACCTACGGGGGAATCGAGCACGTTAGGAAAGATCAAATATAGTGGTCAAAGGATATATCGATTTATTAAGAGAATCGAAGACGCACCGTGCTTGTCGTTCAACTCTGTGTACCACTTATGGCATCGAATATACAGCATGGCTAAGCTACGCGGCCAGTCGGATAGGGTGATTCAAAAGGGACACCTAAAACGCCTCAGCTGGGCAGAGACGAAATCTTTGCGGACAATCAAAGCGAGTGCGAGCAGGCAGAGACGCGAAACTCGGCCTAGATGCAGGTAAACAAGCTCAATTGCCAGGTGTAAGTTTAAGATGGCTGGCATCTATCTCCTTGAAGGGAGGGGTCTTAAACGCTAAAATAGCCGAACTCTGTAAAGGAAAGCATAGACCGAGCGTTGGATTAAGGTATAGCCTAAGGCTTCTAAGCGTATAGCCCTTCCAAGCTGCATGGCAACCATTCCAAATACGCAACCAATATCGAGCTAAGTACTGCTGACTTAAGGCGCGCCTCTATTTGGCTCTACTAGGAGTTCTTATACCGTGCGACATCCTCTAATTGCTTGCTGCCTACGCCGCGAGCATACATGGCGACCTATAAAAACGGCAAGGAAGGCGTGCAAGGAACAATGAAGGGTGGCAAGAGTGGCAGGGACTTGACAGCAAGAGGGTCAAGGGGGTCAAGAGGGTAAGAAGGGTATAGAGGGTATAAAGGGTATGGAGGATAAAGGCCAGTTTATAGTGCTTAGCAACGGTAGATACCATTATACCCGATGGGGACAAGAGAAAGATTGCCAGCGATTTCTAGCGGGAAGGGAGATTCTGCGTATTGCCAGAGACTTAAAGCGGCTCCGCCAATACTTAAAAACGACCATATAAACCAAACGTCCAATATATATAATGTCTACCGTATGAAATCATAGACCATATGAGAGAGGTTTGGCCACATACTTCTGGTATACACCACTTGGGAGGTAGGTCTAGGGCGGTCGCTATCGCACTGGGGTGTTATTCCTCGGCGAAATCAATCTCATATACGATTTAAGCCCGATAGCTCTATCTATTCTAATAACGAGGCCATCCTAACTATAAGGTGAAACATGCCGATAATACTTTGAGGCGCGCGTATTGTCTCTAAGATAATATATAGTTAGCGGAGCTAACGGTAGTAGTAACTGTTAAGGAGAGAGAGTGGGCATAAGAGGCCACAGTCATGCCTAGTAGACCTAATAGTTATGCATAAGGAAGCCTGCCTAACTAATATAACTCCCCTAGCCTAAGGACATTATATAGGCCTAACTTAGGTATAGGAACATCTTAATACCCTCTTTTAGCTAGCTATATATAGTCACTATACCTATATAAGCCCCTGCTTAAGAGTTATAAGCCCGGCCTATACGGCTAGATTATCTTTTGCCCGCCGATATTACCTTTAAAGCTATTTACGAGCTATTAACGCTGTTATAACGCTTAAATCGTAGTATTAAGGCAAGGAACCTAGCTATACTAAGGGATAGTACTAGAAATATACGAATTATACGAATTACGTATCCCTTAAAAAAGGATATTACTTATTAAGCTAGAACCCCTTATTTTCCTAAGATAACGTTAAAGGAAGTAAAAGGAGATAATTATATCGTAAGACTAAAGGAAAGCCTTAACTAGACCCTATAGATTAGGGGGATTAAATTATAGGCCTAGACTTATAAGATTTAGGAATATACTAACCTAGATAGTATAAAAGAGCTTAAATAGCCTTAATAGCTAAACTAAGAGCAATTTATTATTAACCTTAAAGGAAGATCTTCTTAATAAGAAGATAAAACTAAGGCTATATTCCTTATAAAGCGAATAGGTATAACGACTAGTATTATTCCTAAGGGATAAACCTATCGAGGGGTTTATATTAGTAGATATAATAAGGCGTAGTCTAAGCAATAATAAGTATATTATATTAGTAATAAGTTAGAGGTTATAGACTATAGACTATAACTAGGTAATTAGAATTAAAGATAGAATCGTAATAAAGATCTATATTAAAAGCTATCGAGCTATCTATCTAAAGGAGTATTCCGTTCTTTCCTTATATATCTCGAGAGCTTCCCTAGATCGCCGAGAGCACTAGGTAATCTCGTCGCCTAGGAGCGCTAGGGCGCTAGAGCGATCCTATAATCCTAGCTATAGAGCGTTAAAGCGCTAAAGTAACCCGTCGCTCTAAACTTAATTAGCCCGTTAGTCCGTTTAATATTCCTTGCTCCCTACGTTATATATCCTCGTAATATATACTAGTCCCCGTAGTTTACTAGACCGTAGTTATAATAAGATACCTCCCTTCCTTTTAGTCCTACCCTTAAGACCTACTACCTTAGCCGCTATATATAAATATACCCTTATTGCGTTATATATAAGTATATCGTTTCTTATTCCTTTATCCTTTTAGGATATATTGCTAATAGTATATCTAGTTATATTTAAAAATCCTATTCTCGTAATTCCGATAAATCGCGTTAACGATTAAAGCTAGTATCTTAGACTAAGATCTATAGTATTAAAATTATACCTTACTCCTATTATTTTCGGTTAGGCTTAACTTATAAGGTTAGCGAGCGTTTTAATCGGTATTTTAAATATACCTTTATAGGCCGTTCTTATAATAGGTATAATATAGCGTCCGCTTATTTATTTTATCCCTTTCCTTTTTTATTATTCTTTTTTATTAATATTTCTTCTTTTTCTAGTTTATTATATTATAAATTAATAGTAAAGGATTAATTCGGACGAATAGAAAGTAAAAGAAGCGTTAAAGGAAGCGATAGCTCGCCTAGCTCGGATTAGGAAATAAAAGCGTTTCTTAAAGGACTAAGGTAGTAAGTTATTTTAGCGGGGTATATAAGCTATTAATAAAGAAGATAATATAACGTATTCTTCTTAAGATAAATCGGTTTATTTATTAAATAAGGAAACTATTACTATTAGCGAGGTTTAATTATTTAGTGCCTTAGATATATTAGACTAGGATACTATTCTTAGTAACCCTATATTTCTAAGTAAGGGTTCGCTTAATAGAACTATAAGAGTAGAGAACTATAGTAGGTTAAGTGCTTAAGTAGTTCCTAGGTATTTTCCTTTAGTCTATATCCCTTTTACTTAATAAGGTATTCTTATTACTAACCTTATTTTCTTATATCTAGTATTTATTCTACTTTATATTCTTTATTATCGTTAACTTCGATTTTTTCCTATAGTTTAGCGTTTTATAGCGCTAGTTTTAATAATAATATATAAAATATTAGGTATATCCGTATTATTATTAGTAGCGAAAGTTCGTAGTTAACTTTTAAAATAGTTTTCTTAACCTTAAATAGTCTAAGTTTCTTAAAATCGAATTTATTACTTAGTTATTTTATTTTAATATTTCGTTATATAAGGTAGATTATATCTCCCTCTTAAAAGATTAGTCCCTATAATATTTTCCGATTATAGTAAGTAGATATTTATTCTCTAATAAATTAAAGTTCTTATTATATTTCTTTATATAATTTTCGTAGCTAATTTACTTATAGTATCGCTTATTCCGCTTATAGCCCTTATTAAGTAACCTTAAATACTTCTAAGTTATATCTATAATTAGCGTATACTAGTAAGAGCTTAGTTATTTCTATAACTAAGCTATTATAAGCTAGTTACGCTATTAGTAGCTATTTAACTTAATTATTTTATTTATAGCTAATATAGTATTATAAATATTATTTAAGCGTTTAGTTAAGTCGTTTTATTTATCTATTTATTTATAGGTAATAAGCTATACTAAGCTTATATTTCGTTCTTAATTATACTATAAGAGCTTACTAAAACTTAGCTATAAATATACTTCCTTTATTAAAGATAATCTTATTTAATAGTCTATAATTACTAATAATAGTTTATAGGAATATATATACTAGCTCTTTTATATTACTTACTTCTTTATATAGTAAGAAGTACCTATACTTTATTAGTCTATTAGTAATAATAAATATACTATTATACTTAACGTTAGTTAAAAGTTCTTTTAATAGTAGT